ACCCTGTGACCAAAGTCAATGGAAAACTACAGCAACCCAATTCTGACGTGACTAATGGCCCAGACTTTAGGAATGAAGGTTTTGGTCACCCCATCAGGCAAAGAACCACGACCAACTGAGGTGCTTGCTGAAGGCGAAGGGAATACGGAATGGCTGGTTGAAGAAGGTAGTTCTAAACACCAGTTATGACCATGTGACTAGTTGCAGGAATGAGGACTGTAGTTGTTATGAGTGTTTCTGCTTTGTATGTGTGCATCAAATATTTTTGTTTTCTTCACTTATAAAATATAAAATGTAAACAAGGCCAGTGCATTTCAGTTGTATGTGTGTTCTTTGTGTCATGTTAGGCTCAAGTATGACTTTATAATTGTCTTTATTCAGATTATGTATGGTTTAAGGAGATGTGTACAGGTGCCAAGTTGACAAGGGGTGGACTGTGATGGTTACGGTTGTGTGTCAACTTGGCTGGGCTATGATTCTCAGTGGTTTGGCAGTCATATGATGTTGTGATCACTTCCATGATGAGATTTGATATAATTTGATCGCTTCCATGATGGGATCTGCTGTGAGTAGCCAATCAGTTGAAAGGGAGTTTCCTTGGGGGTGTGGCCTGCATCAAATGTAAGTGAGCATTCAGGCCAGGCTTGGAGGCTTTTGCTCACTCTGGATCCTGCAGCTGGCTCCTGTTTGTCTGACCTCTGCTTCTTGGGACTTGAGCTAGCAGCTTGCCTATGGTCTAGCCTGCTGATCTTGGGTTTCATCGATCTTCCCAGGCTGGGAGTAAGAGCCCTGCTCTCTGACCTGTGGATCTGGGGTTTGCCACCCCTGCAGCTACGTGAGTCAGGAGATGCTTCTATCCTGACTCACGGACTTGGGATATTCCAGCCTCTATAACTGTGTGAGACATTTCCTTGATATAAATCTCTCTCTTCCTATATGTATATACACTTTACTGGTTTTGCTTCTCTAGAGAACACAGCCTAAGACACACGGACTGCCAAAAATCAAACAAATCTGCCTTGGAAGAAGTACAGCCAGAATTCTCCTTACAAGCGAGGATGGCAAGACTTTGTCTCATGTACTGTGGACATGTTATCAGGAAGGACCAGTCCCTGGACAATGACATTATGCTCTGTAGAGGGTCAGCAAAAATGAGGAAGACCCTCAATGAGATGAACTGACACAGTGGCTGCAACAATGGGCTTAAACACAGAAACAATTGTGGAGACGGCACCGGACCGAGCAGTGTTTCGTTCTGTTCTACGTAGGGTCGCTATGAGTCAGAACTGGTTCGATGGCACTTAATAACAACAACAAGGGGATATATGAGTCTAGAGCTCCAGGGAGAAATAGAGGGTGGAGAGATAAGGGCCATCAGCACTTTATAGAATGTATAATACATGGTTGAATATTGCTCAGGATCACATAATTGTTGCTACAACTGGAACAGATTTTTTAAAGGACATACTTGAACCTCATTTTTAAAATGTGAAAATTGAGAATCAGAAAACATATTTAGTCCTAGGTCATGTACCTTGTTGGCATCTAAGCTGGGACCAGAATCCAGGCGTCTAACACCTAAAACAGAGCTCTTTTCAAGATATTTTACTTCTAATTCCCTTTTAAGAGAACATATGATAATTCTGACTGGCTTAAATATTTTATACATAAAATATATTTATGGTAAGTTTACATCATTTCCATATCCTGGAAGAAGCTGCTTTTGTGATTGTGTGAAAGAAGTTATTATACTCCACTGTGTCTACAATACTATTATTCCAAGTAACAAGAATCCATCACTTATGGGAAACTGCCCTGGCTCCCAAAGCAGTTAGGTTTCGATTTTGACTAAACTAACCAAGTTCTGAGTATCTCATAACCTCTTGCTGTTTTTAGTACTAACTGTGATGTAGACATGTCCCTTGGTGGCATAGTTTGCACTCAACTGCTAAACTAAAGGTTGGCGGTTTGAGCCCACCTAGCAGCAGTGTAGAAGAAAGGCCTGGCAATCTGCTTCCATAAAGATTACAGCCAAGAAAACTCTATGGAGTAGTTCTACTCTGTAAGCACAGGGTCACCATGAGTCAGAATCGACTTGACAGCAACAGGTATGAGCATGTGATGCACACATGTCCATTTATACAACTAATCAAACTAAAAAGTTACAAATGCTCAAAAATATCACCATTTTTCAGCCTAGTTTTAACCCACATACATTTCAAATCCCTGAAGTTAAAACTAAAAAACCCAAACCTATTGCCATCAAGTCAATTTTGACTAACAGTGACCCTATAGGACAGAGCAGAACTGCCCAGTAGGTTTCCAAGGCTGTAATGTTTATGGAAGCCGACTGCCACATCTTTCTACTGAAGAGGAGTTGGTGGGTTTGAAGAGCAGCTGGTGGGTTCGAACCACTAGCCTTTAGGTTAGCAGCCAACTGCTTAACCACCACACCACCAGAGCTCCTTCCCTGAAGTTACTAAATGCAAAATTATTTTAATTAGTCCAAACACAAAGATATTTCCATTCCCTTTTTTAATTATCCGACACACTTAAGCAAATGATTAGGGAGATGTCAATCAGTTAAAAACAGGCACTGATAAGACACAGACATCTTACAGCTCTTCTTGAAATATAAATTTGGTAATGATCTACAAGTACTAAAACTGTACGTGTGTGTAGTGCAATGAATTACTTAATATGGCCCTGCTAGCCATGGTCTTTGTGACTCACACACAGTGATTGAGTGGGGTTATGCAAATGAGGTATATGGAACCTGTGATGGTTGGGATTAGGTGTCAGCTTCTCTAGGGCATGATTCCCAGTATTGTGTGGTTGTCCTCCATTTTATGCGTTGTGGATCCTGACCTCTACATGTTGATGAGGCAGGATTGATGTAAGGTGTGTCTCACATCCCAGCCTTGTAGGAGAGTGTGACTCAAGCCCCACCCTTACTAAAGTTACACCCTTCCCTGGGGTGTTGCCTGCATCTAAGATAATATGTGTGTGTCCTGTTAAGGCTCTCTCTCTGCATCCGGATCCCACATCCAGTTCCTGATCAATTGACCTCCTCAGAGATCTGCTGTCTGACCTGCTGATTGTGGTATTCACAGACCTCCAAAGCCCCCGGGGCTGGCAGCCTATTGTGTGACCTGATTTGCCAGTTTCTGCAGTCTTGCGAGCTAGCAGCTTGTGTCTGAACTGCTGATTCGGGTTTGTCAGCCAAATGGGTTGGGAAAAGCCTACGCCTGACCCACGAATTTGGGACTTGCCAGCCTCCACAACAACGTGAGCCATTTCCTTTATATGGTTCGTGAGGGAGAGTACTGAGGGGAGAGGGAGTAGTTGATGTTAGAGACGATGGCGTGATACAGCAGCTTGGAGAAGCTGGACATTTGGGACATCTTTAACCTAAGTCTCGTAGAAACCAGCTTTGTGCTGATCCTTATAAATTATTCGTTCAGTGTGTCACAGGCTAAATGAGGCTTTTTTTTTTTTTAGAAACGAAAGTAGCAAACGTGTAATTACAAGACCACTAGTATCTTCACCGGAGTCCCTGGGTGATGCAAATGGTTAATACACTCAGCTGCTAACTGAAAGATTGGAGGCTTAAATTCACCCAGAGGTGCCTGTGAAGACAAGCCTGGTGATCTACTTCTGAAAAATCCACCATTGAACATGCTATGGAACACAGTTCTACTCTGATAGACATCGGGTCATCATGAGTTGGAAATGACTCAACAATTGGTAACTGTTATACTGTCCTCCTAGGGTTTAGAGAAGGAAGTGACAACTCTAAGGATGCTTTCCAATCCTTTAGGTACTAGATTCATTATGGAATCATGAAATATATGCACCTGTAATCTTACCCTAAGTTAGAGGAACACACTTTAATTATTACACTTATTTTCCATTACTCTAGTTCAGACTAAAACAGGACAAAAATTAAGACTTAGTAACAACAACAAAAAATGTATACGTGTTTTAATATAACAAGAATTAACCAAACAGACCATACAAAAATCTGTAAAGGAAATACCAAGTGACGTACCACTTATGTTTTATATACCCTATTAAGAAGTACGGTGTGGTGATTTAATATGGCCCTTCTAGCTATATTAACTTCCACCAAATGAATAGGAGTATGCAAATGAGGTGCCTGTGGCCCACCAAGAGGATCGGATAGCTTTCTAATAATGTAAATAAGGTGCATGGCACTCTTGTGGGGGTGGGACCATGTAAATAAGATATATGGAACCCTAAAGAGGGGATTGGTCAGTTTTACCATCTCACTAGGCTTAAAACAAGCCATCCCAGAGGTAGGAAGCGAGGATTTCAGCAACACCAAGAAAGAGCCAGGAGTGGAGCACATTCTTTTGGACCTGGGATCCCTGCGCTGAGAACCTCCTAGATCCAGGAGACAGAGAGAGAGAGAGGTAACACCAGAGATGGTGAGAAGTAGTGGCAGAGATATAGTGGCAGCAGAACCAGGAGACCAGGAGACAGCATGGTGGGCTTTCCAGCCCCTGGAATGAGAAAGCTGAGTGCCTTCAGGCAAGGGGTTTGCTGGCAGAATGGGGTGCCTACAGGTACTGGCGGAGCTAGGCTCGCAGACCCATGGAGGCTTACTGGCAGAGTGGAGTGCCTCCAGGAACTTACTGGTGGAGCTAAAAGAGCCTTGTAACACATGCCTGAGCAGGGCAGAGGCTGAGGGGCCAGAGAGAGGCATGTCTGCAGGCCCGCTTGAGAAGAGGCTGTCCTAATCGAGAACTGTATCCTGAGCATTCCTGAACCTGAACTGCAACCTGTTAGTTCCCTAATAAAGCTCATAATTGTTGAGTATTGTCTGTAAGTTCAGTGAGACCACTGCAACAAATTATTGAACCCAGCAGAGAAGTAGAGAGTGCCGTGGGAGGGACAGTTGGTATCAGAATTGGTAAAAAGGTTGGAGTGTTGAGGCATGTCTGATCTCAGCCTCACAGGAATCAGCCTTGGGCTGCTGATCTTGATTCTCTTGCCCCCTTGTGAAGTTAGAGGTCAGATGCCCTGCCATGGTATTTTTATAAGACACGTCTTCCAAATATGACAGTGTTACCATGTTAATTAAAAGCATATTTATACTATTGGATTGTATACCTCAGTTACTTCTTCAGATCCCAGTTTTAAATTTAATCACTGCTCTAGTTTGCTTTAAAAACATACTTCTGAAAATTGAAAACTCTTTCCAATTCTGAGTTTAGCATATAGCAAATAAAAATTTTATACATACCTTCTAATTTCACACATATGAATCTGAAGCATTTCTTCCATTAAATAATATTTGTGCTGGAGTAAAAATTAGGATACTGACTCAACAAGAAAAGACTGCCTACCTTATTCAGTCCTTATAAGTGATAATGTTCAGACTTAACATTACACAATTCAGTTTCTTTATTTTTAAGATGACTCCATTTCTCAGAACAACACAAATACAAGAAACAGTTCTTAGGGCTAGCTGAGGCCATGTTTATCTGCCCTCCTAAAAGCACTAGCTCAGCCCCTAAAAGAGAAATTACAAATCTGAGAAGGTATGGGAAACGTAAAGAGTAGAGATTCTAATTAAAAAAGAAAAATCAATGACATCAGTATTCTATTCTTCACATCAGTACTAATACAAACTCAACCCTTTTAAATCAGGGAACCTGACATTCCATTCCTAATCAAGTGATTTTACAATCCCTGTAAAGTAAAAGAATTACATAAAGGTGTAACCAGTTTGCCTCCTTTAGAGATACTGCAATATAGAAAAGAAATTGTTTACTGTAAACTTCTCCTTCTGCAGGCTTCTGCAGGCTTCAAGGTACTTCTGAGCCCCAATAATCAAGCAGTTCATGACAAAAGATAAAAGTGAAAAAGTAGACACAGAGATCTGTGAAGACTTCGGCCATTTTGCTATAGGTATCCATTGATCGGTTTATCACTTCAGCAGGAATTCCAGATAACAGAAGTGCAGCGGTTAGTACTGTTGTCTTTATCTTCTTTTCACCCTGTACAGCGAAAGACTCAAATGAATTTCACAGATATCAGCAGATTACTTAAGCTCTATAAAAACATGATCAGTACTGTTACTTTTGCCTAATTGCTTTTAAAACTGTTAATAAACTTTCAAAACATCAATATATTAACAAATATTTACTAAGCATACAATATGTAAAGCAGCCAACTGTGCTAGGCAATAGGGAAGAGATACCAGCCTTACTCTAAAAAGTTTTAAAAAGTATCATCTTGGAAGCAAGATATAAATAATAATTTAGGATTTAAACAACAGCACAAGACCAAAACAGAAAAATATCACTAGATCAGGACATAAATAACTGCTAAATGAATGACATGGATAATGTGTGGCAAAGGAGTTCAAAGGAGACAGAAATTGCTCCAGGGTTTCATTTATAAATAAAACTCAGGGAAGGATTTCAGAGAGAAGTGGAATTAAAAACAGGCCTTGAAGGACGAGCAGGATTAGATGGCCAAAAGTGAGAGGGGAAATCTTGTTGTAAGGTAAGTCTCACGACAACAAAAGCCAGAGGCAGAAGAATGCCAGGTCTATTAGAGGACGTGCGTAATCTGTAACAGAATCATAGGAACATCCTGTAGAGTCCTAATTGCCATACAAAGGAATTCATGTTTTATTACACATGCAACAGGGTATCATTGAACAGTTCAAAATATTTTTAGGGGAAGGGAGAATATTTATTTTCTAATTTCCTGGTCACATTTTTTAAGTGTTTCAAAGCTCAAGTTTTATTTAATTTATTGACTTGGTGATATAGTCACATGGTTCTAAAATTCTGAAATTATAAAAACGATACAGTTACCCAAGAGAAATGGAAGTCTATACTCACAAAAAGGCTCAAACAAAAAAGTTTTTAGCAGCTTTTGTCATAATAGCCAAAAACTGGGAAAAAGTAAGATGTCCCTCAATAGATTATATAAGCAAACTGTGATATATTTATACGATGAAATACTACTGAGCATTAAAAAAAAAAAGTACAAACTACTGATTACTCAACAACATGGGTGAATCTCAACGATACCATGCAGAATGAAAGAAACTTTGTACAAAAAAGTACACACAGAATAATCCCATTTATATGAAGTACTACAGCAGGCAAAACTAATCTACGTTAGGAAAAACTCAGACCTCTGAGGAATAGGGGCTGGGGCTGGCTGGAAAGGGGGCATCATAGAACTTTCTGTGGTGATTAGGTAATGTTCTAAACCTTGATAGGGACTTGGGTTTCACAGGTTGTCAAAACTCATCAAAGGTACACTTGGGATTTGTTAAGATTTGTGCTTTTCACTGTATGAAAATTTTACCTTAAAAAAAAAAAAAGAACCATAAACACACACTGAACTGTAGTTAGTGACATGTATGCTGGAGTGTGTAGGGCTGAAGTATTCTGACACTGACATCTACAACATACTTTGAAATGCATTTAAAAAAACAGGGATTGAAAATGGATAAAAAATTAGATGACATGGGAAAAAATATATATAACCAGTATAAAATATATATACAGTGAAACGTTAATTGTGGAATCTAGGTGGTAGGTATATATGGGTGCTCAATGCACACTCTTTCAACTTGTCTATATATTTAAAAACCGTTATAATAAAATGTTGGGAAGAAAAGTATACAATAAAGTCTCCCTTTTCTCTCCTCCATCCACCTAGTAACCCTTACACCCCTACCACAAATAACCACTGTTAATAGTTTCATATCTATTCTTCTAGAGTTTCTTTATGCGTATACAGTCAAAATCAAATATATATTATTTTCCGCCTTTTCACGAAAAAAGGAGTATACAATTAATCCTATTTTGCGTTTTGTTTTTTTCTCCAAATATTGCTTGGAGAGCTTACCATTATCGGTACATGGAAAGCTTCATCTTTCTAAATAGATATGCCATAATTTTTTTAAATAGTCACTTATTAATGGACATTTAGGTTGTTTCCAAACTTTCGCTATTGCAAAACTACAATCAATGTTTCAAGGGTGAATTTCTAAACAAATGTTTTGATTAAAATTATATTTCTTTCTTTAGTCTTTTACTTTCTGTATTTGATCCCTGAAAAATGTTTCGAATCCATTAAAACCACCAGAACTATCAAGCAAGCAGCCAAGTAGCCATTTTTCAGCAAAGAACTATATAAACTCCAGCACAAAGTAAGGCTATCTTCTAAACCAGGCAAGCCAAGCCTCACAAAACTGGGCATACATCTGCAGTCACTCAAGCCAGGTAAACACTGACATTCACCATCATTCTCTTCTTCAATTTTTGCCAAATATTTCTTGCAAATTTACCAGGCCTTTGACATTAAAGATAAAGTGCAATGCTGTTAAGCTTCCAGTTGGGAGCATAGTGAGATAATCGAACCCACTTTAAAATTAATTTCCTTTATTGTATTATATAAAATATATGACTAAATTTACTAAGTAATTAAACTGAAAACTTTCTTAGATAAGTACTACTCAAACTGTCAGGAGGAACCAGTTTTTTCCCCAATCCGTTGTGGATGAACATTTTTGAAAATAAAATAAAAATGTGGCAATGTCAAATTTTATAGGATTAAAACTTTCTTATTTCTTACTCACTTTCTGAATTTATCACTAACAGGAACAAACAGTGTGAACATAGGCATTGGTGGGTAACACACCTTGAGTAGCACTGACTCAGACCACAAGTAAAACTAAATTTTTTTAAACTTCCATTAAATCAGTTTAAATACATAACCATAATTTAGAAAAAAATTTTAGTTTACCTTGGGAAAATATTTGTATAGTCCCATGTATGCAAGTTGTAAAGTAAGAAACGGAGCAAATATGGACTGTGAAGAAAGAAGGTAAAATTACACATTTCCAACATTATCATTCAAATCACAATAAATCAAACTAACAATAGCTACAGAATTCCAAGCAAAAAAATGTAATTAAAATACTTAATTTTGAAAGTAATCTTGTTTCTGCAGAAGGATAAAGAAAATACAGGGATCTGGTTTCCTAATCATAAAACATGTTTCTCAAGTCATACAAGTCTTTCACATTCTTTTAATGTCCCAAAAAAGTCTTCTCTCATAAAAACTCATCTTTTAAATTATTTAAAGTATTGAATGGTGGTAGACATAACACATGCAGTACTAGCTCCCACACCTAGAAGACACAAACTGGCAAGTTGCAAGTACGCATAAAAGGCCGCAGCAGTCAAAATTGAGGTCACACATTCCTAAGACTTTGAGGCAAGGAATTGGACAGCCACATGTCTCTGGCCCTCAAATGATGAACTAGTCTTATTGTAGATAAAACAGCTTGTTATGGCTTCTCAGACAATAATAGAAAACATAAAAATAAAATTTAATTTACATAATTACTTCTAAAATTAAAAACACTATAAAGGGAGTGAAGGAGCAAATACTATTAGATAGAAATACAGTGAGAGCAGTGAGAAATAAGTTGAAAATCTGATAGCAAAAAAAACCTCACAAAAATAAGGCACAAAAAAATAGGACATGACAACTTTAAAGCAAGAAAGCACAGAGCCTCTTAGAGACAAAAAGCAGCTACACCTCTCACTAAGTGCTGAAAGCACCACCCAGTGCTCTTTGTAATGATAGCCATTTATCAATAGGAAAAAAAATGAAATCTGTTCAACAGATTCTATTTTTCAAATATTTGCACAAAAACAGATTTAAAAAACCTTTCTTCTTAATGATAAAAAAAAACAAAAAAACCCAAACTCATTGCCCTTAAGTCGATGCTGACTCATAGTGACCCTATAGGACAGAAAAGAGCTGCCCCACAGGGTTTCCAAGGCTGTAAATCTTTATGGAAGGAGACTGCTACATCTTTCTCCTGCAAATTTGCTGGTGGGTTTGAACCACTGACCTTTCGGTTAGCAGCCTAACATTTAACCACTGGGAAACCTTAATTATCTGGAAAATGTATTTCTGTGGCTGGTACATGGTGGGTATTCTCCAAATGCCTACTGAATAGAAATACCTCAAAGAGCAAGACACTGAACTATGAGTTCTGCTTTTCTGCGTTCCTCCACATACTGTAAAAAGGACCATGAAATCCTAACTTTCAATGAACAGTCACTGGCATATTACGGAACAATAAAAACTCTCTCTATATATAATACTACAGTATTATAAAATGCTGAAATGTCTTCTGAAGCATAGAAAAATTATGTCAAGTTCAGGATCACGGAACTACATTTTAATGTTTCAAATTACAGTCATGTGTTGCTTAACGTTTATGATATGCTCTGTGAAATAGGACATTATGTGATTTAGATGTTGTGTGAACACAATAGTCCCTGGGTTACGAGCATCCGACTTTCGGATAACTTGCACTTAAGAACGGACTGATGGGGCCACAGTCGTATATGCAGTCGGACGTCAACTGAACAGACATTATGTGGCATATTTAAAAATGTGTAATTAATACATAGTATATGTAGGTGGCGCAGTGGTCAAGAGTTACAGCTGCTAACCAAAAAGGTCAAAAGTTTGAATCCACTTCTTGGAAACAGTGAGGCAGTTCTACTCTGGCCTATAGGGTTGCTATGAGTCGGAGTCGACTCAATGGCACCGAGTTTTGGTTATACGTAGGTAGTTTACCCTTTGGTTCTGCAATGAAACTGCCTGGGTTTAAATCCCAGCTGCTACTCAGTAGCTGTGTGACCTTGGGCAAATTATTTAACGTCTCTGAGCCTCCATTCCCTCATCTCTAAAACATGGATTCAAATGATGGCTACTTCATAAGGATGAACATTAAATGAATTAACAGATATAAAGTACTTAGAATGGTAGAAAGATTTTAGTAATTATTATTATTAGGCTCTGTATTTAACCAGAACACCTCATTCTATAACTAAGTTGAATAACAAAGTTTATAACTCATCTCCAAATAGCCACGTGAATGTGGTAAATACTAACTTAATATTTGCAATGAACTCTGTGGATTAGAAGCGCTCATTATTATAACCAGTTTGCATTTTCCATTGTTAGTTAATAGTTCACAGTTCTTTTCTTACCAAATATTTGCAAACAAAAGCCCTGACTCCAAGGGCAAGAAGAGCACATCCCACCAATCTAAATATTCGAAAAGAGTCAAATTCTTCTGCTGTACTTCCATCCTCTTGACTGGGTTTCTCACTAATCAGCTGTTTCCTTAGCTTCATTGCTTCTTCAAATCTGGAGAGGTACTGTTCTAAGCCATGGCGAGAAGCCCCCTGGACAGTGTCTGCTGTCAGGTCCTCTCTGTTCCGCTGCTGGAGCTCAATGTTGACATCATTGCTGCACTCAGATGGTTTCATGAAAGAGTCCAGTTTGTCTCCCAGTTGAGTCCCCTTTACTTCAACCACACCACCCTGCTGGTCAGTTGTTCCTGTAGTGACTGAATCACCTAGCACTACTCGCTTTGAAACTGAAGGAACGGTGAGGGAATTCAGTTTATCACTGTCCAGCTGCTTTGATTTTGTTTGACTTTCTTCTTCTGAGAAAAGAAAATTTAAAACCTTATGTATCATATACTGAAAAAACACCTTCCATGTTAATATTAAAAAACATGCTGCTGCAGGTAGAACTTGGAAGTCTATGAATCTAAATCGATACTGATTCTGCATAAAACACAAATTAGTTTCTTCTGCTATAAAGGAACTTGTGAGTCTCAAAAGATATCACCCAATGGAAAAATCTGGAAACAGTGGTGATGGTTGCACAACATGATGAATGTAATCAATGTCCCTGAACTGTACATATAAAAAACGCTGAAATAGGAAATGTTTTGTTATATATACTTGTACCACAATAAAAAAAGACACTTAAAAAAAAAAATCCCCCAAAAGAGTATTCCTGCCGAGGAAATAATCCAAACCTTGGAAACAGGAGATAAGACTAGTAGAAAAACTGAGAAACATATTCGAAGGATGGAACAAGCTATAAAGACCAACTTTTCATGGATCTAATATCCCAGAAGTATGTCTGCATTCCCTGCTCTAGTTTATTTGGTTTAAAATATAAAATTATTAAAGCTTTTAAAAATCTGTATTTTAAAATTAGATTTCTGAATCTGGGGTTCTGTCAGCATAGGGTGTGGCATAGCTTACAGCTACTGTTTATGTAATCCTACTACTGCAGTCCGCAAGCCATTTAGGAGGGACTTAAAGCAGTTTTATGATGCTGTTCTATTCTTCTAGGAGAATTTTGAAATAGTGCTCTTACCTCTCCTGGAAGTTTTCAGCCTCAAACCTGTAAACCGCCTAAAAGTTCAGGACTATTTATCTAAAGCCGAAAAGAACAGAATATAAGTCATAAAGACCTAAGGAGCTTACAACTAGTGACAGAAGTCCAATTACTGAAGGCAAAGGCAACACTCAATGGCAGCTTAAAGAATACTAGCACATACTAAGTGTTCAATAAATATTCACAGGAACAAAAATTTTTTTTAAAGAACCTTACTGGACATATCATTGGGGAAGAAATGAGGAACTCCCCTTTGGGGTTAAATGCACTTCAGGACATCAATCACATCAATCTCCGCACATTGGGGGGGGAGCCCTCAGGTGGGCACTTCCCACTTGTTGGCTCTATAAACAATGCTCACTGGTATTTTTTCACCTCTTCTACAAGGCCCGCAGGTGACAGTGTTGAGGGCACTGAAGACAGACACTATGACCAGAGAGAGTCCCTGATCCACATAGTAAGGACTAGGGGGCAGTTCAGTAAAGACAAGCTGGTGTGGTTAGACAGAGTTGGAGCAAAAGCAAAAGAAGGCAGACACTAGGGAAGGCAGTGGAAGGAAAAGCATTAGAAACAGAAAGGAAAGCAATCTTGAACGGCGCATCAATCTAACGGTATAAAACGTGCGCCGTTCAGGGGAGGAGAGGGAGTAGGTAAGAAAGAAAGGGGGTCGTTCTCATGGTAACTGGACAGAGGGAACCACGGCAGGGGACTAAGGAGCGAGGACTTTGCAGCTGGCGGCGGGGCTGGGGTGAATCTCAGGGCGAAGCCCCCAGAAGATTGTGGGGAATGAGTAGGAACGTCTTAGGGTTAAGACGTGAGAACTTGAGACATCACCTAAGGGACGGGGACCGGGGGTACGGGGGTGTCAGAGGGCAACGCCTGGTCAGCGGGGTAGGGGAAAGAATGTTCCTGAAGACTTAAAAGAGGCTGGCTGGAGACTGAGGGGAAACGGAGGCTCTTACCAGCGCCGCTCCCGGGCCTGTGAAAGCCCATGATTCGGTTGATGCGCTGTTCCGAGTTCATGAGCAGCTTCCTCCGCCGCAGCTCGGCCCGACGCTGGGAAGCCGACAAGCTTGAGGCCGCAGGGGACCCAGGGCGGTCCCCCCCGTCGGTAGCGACGGTCACTGGCTCCATCCTCCCCTCCTTATCCAGGGAGATGGAGTGGTGGCAATAGCGCCTCTGGCAGCCGCGCCGCGGATGACTTCAGGCCGCACCACAGGCAGCGCGTCCCCTCCTACCGTAGACCCGCCCCCTGAGCCAGATCCCCGAGACTGCAGGCGAAGCACGCGCGCGCCGCCCGATGGGACTAAGCGCAAGACTCTGCGCCGCCATCTTAGAGAAGGGCAGCAATGATGCTCCCCAACCTCCCCGCCTCGGCTGATCCTAACTTCTCCTCTTTCCCGTCACCAGGTGTCTTTTGGGGTTCACTCGGAAGTGAAGAATACTGGCACACAGCCTGACTAGTGAGAAAGGGATGGGAGTAGGGAGCAGGTTCATCTTAGAGTCTTAGATTGGTGCCAGGAAGTAAAATGGAAGTTGCAGCGGCAGGCATTTATATACAGTGACCTTATGCGGCCTCACTTATAGGCCGTGGGAGTACGTAACTTTGGGTGTGACGCTTTAGGGAGTGTTGCATTGGAATTCATTCTTGCTGCGGATCCCTCAAACTGATTTGCTTTTCTCCCAAATACACGCCAGGTTTGCTCCCAGGCTTCCTCACGTCAGAGAAGTCAAGTTTCCTCTTGTCTGCAATCAAGGTCTTAAGGAAAGAGAACCATAACTTAGGGTAGTGGTTATCTCCCTGGAAAAAGATAACCTCATAAATATACAAATAACAACGTACCTCCTTTTATCAGCCTTTTCTCCTTTAATAACAAAGGTGACCAAATACAATTCCAGAATAAACAAAAGATTTCTTCATTTGAGAGAGCCTATGTAAGCCAGATGAAAATTTCAGTTCACTAGATTGAAGTGTGGATGTATGATGACTCAGTTAAAATTGTCAAGATTTCATATTTACTTATTAATTTCTGGGAAACCTTTTTACTGTGGGAATTAAGTCTTAATTATCCTTTCTAGCATTTCTTAGTGATATATGTGATTCTTTGATAAATGACATGTACACTTATAATTCTTATATTAATTTTCTCTCTCTTTTATTAGACTATAAACTCCAAAGGGCAAGCCCATCCTCTTTTTATTTACTTACCATTTTGCCCCAACCCCAACACAGAGAGCATTTGGCTAAACTTAGATAAATATTTACAGAAATTTAGAGGAAGTGTCAAAAATTGGCATTTTTAGTGAGTTTTCCTTATAATTTTTGATCCTAGCATTTTTAAGTAGGCTAATATTAATAATTTATTTTTAAAAAAAACTGTAGATACAAAGCTGAACAGATTTAATGTTAAGAATTAAGTGATGTTGTTGTGTGCCATAGAGTTGATTCTGACTCGTAGTGACCCTATGGGACAGAGTAGAACTGCCCTGTCGGATTTCCTAGGCTGAAATCTTTACGGGAGAAGATGCCAGGTCTTTTCTCCTGTGGAGCGGCTGGTGGGTTCAAACTGCCAACCTTTTGGTTAGCAGCTGAGCTCTTAACCATTGGGCCACCAGGGCACCAGGGCACCTTCGAATTAAGTGATACAGTAGCAAAAAAATGGAAACAGTCAAAATGCCCACCAACTTGATGAATGGATAAGCCAAATGTGGTACATATATATAACAGAATACTACACAACCATAAAGAACAATGATGAGTCCACGAAACATACATGGATGGACCTGGAGGACATAATGCTAAGTGAAATACATAAGTTGGTCACATAAGGACAAATATTGTATGATCCCTCTTTTATAAGAAGACAAGAATAGATATATATAAAGAAACCAGTGTTCATTGGTGATTACCAGGAAGCAGTGTGGGGAAGGGTAATCACGCTCTAGATCTTAGAAACTTGTTATTTTTAGTGATAGGAAAAGTGGCACCAAATGTGGGAGTAGTGAGCATAGCTTGACCAAAGTAAATGATGTTACTAAGAGGTGCTCAAGAGAGAAGGATGCTTGTACTAAAGAATTTGATGTATATAATTTGGCAACAACTCCAATAAACACTAGAAAAGCATCTGATCACATATGTATATATTGGCATAGAGGTATATGGGTAGGTACAGGTGTATACATATGTGTGCACAGATAGAAGTATCTCTGTGTAAGTACAGATATGGAGCCCTGGTGCAGAGTGGTAAAGAGCTCAGCTGATAACCAAAAGGTTAGCAGTTCGAATCCACCAGCCGCTCCTTGGAAACCCTACAGGGCAGTTCTACTCTGTCCTTTAGGGTTACTATGAGTTGGAATCGACTCAACGGCAGTGGGTTTTTTTTTAAGTACAGATATGTGTGTGCAACTCAACGGCAATGAGTTTGGGTTTGTTTTTGTTTTTTTTTTATGTGTGCAGGCACATATATTCATACAAATACACAACTACAGATATTCTTTAGACATCACCAACCACCTTGCAAGATTGGTTTTCTGCATTTTGGCTTAGGACCTTAGTCTCATGGGACTCCTCAGTTAATTGGTATGATACACCTACTCCTCACTTGTTGACTATCTTGTTATCCGACATTTTGCATTTATGACTGTCTTAGTCATCTAGTGCTGCTATAACAGAAATACCACAAGTGGATGCCTTTAATAAAGAGAAGTTTATTTCCTTACAGTAAAGTAGGCTAAAAGTCCAAATTCAGGGTGTCAGCTCCAGGGGAAGGCTTTCTCTCTCTGTTGGCCTTCTCATCAGTCTTCCCCCGAACTAGGAGCTTCTCCTCACAGGGTCTGCTCCTGGCACTGCTTTCTTGGTGGTATGAGGTCGCCAACTCTCTGCTTGCTTCCCTTTCCTTTTATCTCTTGTAAGATAAAAGGTGGTGCAGTCCACACCCTAGGGAAACTCCCTTTACATTGGATCAGGTGTGTGACCTTAGTAAGGATGTTACAATCCCACCCTAATCCTCTTTAATGTAAAATTACAATCACAAAATGGAGGACAACCACACAATACTGAGAATCATGGCCCAGCCAAATTGATACATTTTGGGGAGGACATAATTCAATCCATGACAATGACAATAGTAAAAAATCTAGTATCTGACTATTTTGCACATTAACTACAAACATCTGGCAGTAACAAAGGCTGAGGTGCAAAGCAAGAGTAACGCCGGCTGTGATGGTTAAGGTTACATGTCAACTTGGCTGGGCCGTGGTTCTCAATGGTTTGGCAGTTATGTAATGATGTAGTTATCCTCCATTTTGTGATCTGATGTGGTCATCCTTCATTTTCATGTAACACCAATTTTTGCATTACGACCTGGTCTTTGGAACCTAACCATATCGATAAGTAAAGAGTGGGTATATAGTTCACAAAGTTCATGTTCTGCGTCCTAGTGAAATGAGCAGTGTCTGGGGTCTTAAAAGCTTGCAAAGATACAACTATTAGTCTATAATCATCAGGAGCAAAAGAGTAAAAAGGAAACCAAAGTATCAGAGAAGAAACAAGTCTACAAGGCTAATAGCCTACATAAGCCACAGCCTCATCTACTCTGAGGCCAGAAGAACTAGATGGTGCTTGGCTACCACTCCTGACTGTTCTGATCATGACCACAATAGATGGTCCCAGACAGAATGGGAGAAAAATGTAGAACAAATCTCCAATTCTTAAGAAAGTCCAGACTAACTGGACCGGTTGAGACCAGAGGACTCCCTGAGACTATCACCTTGAGATGCTCTTTAAACCTGGATGCAAAACTATTCCCTGAGGTCAGCATATAGTGAAGCAACAAAGTGGCACACAAAATAAATGATATTATCTGTAAGTACACTATTCTACTAAAAAACCATCTACATGAGATCAAAAGGTCAACATGTAAAGCAAAAATGAGAAAATAACGGAGCAGGGAAACTAGAGTACTGGAAATGGAACAACAAGAACACAAAGAGAATGCTGATACACTGTGAAAAATATAACTAATGTCACTGAACAGTTTGTATAGAAATTGTCAAATGGGAAACTAATATACTGTCATGGATTGAACTGTATCCCGCAAATATATGTGCATTAGTTTGACTAGGCCATGATTCCCAGTATTGTGTGATTATCCACCATTTTGTCATCTGATGTGATTTTCCTTTGTGTTATAAATCCTGTCTCTATGATGTTAATGAGATGGGATTAGTGGCAGTTATGTTAATGAGGCAGGACTCAATTTACAAGATTAGATTGTGTCTTAAGCCAATCTCTTTTGAGATATAAAAGAGAGAAGTGAGCAGAGAGACATGGGGACCTCATACCACCAAGAAACAAGAGCCAGAAGAATAGTGTGTCATTTGGGCCCGGCGTCCTTGTGCTGAGAAGCTCCAAGACCAGGGGAAGATTGATGACAAGGACCTTCCTCCAGAGCTGACAGAGAGAGAAAAACTTCCCCTGCTGGAGCAGGCACCCTGAATTTGGACTTGTAGCCTACTGGACTGTAAGAGAATAAACTTCTGTTTGTTGAAGCCATCCACTTGTGGTATTTCTGTTATAGCAGCACTAGATAACTAAGACATTTACTGTGTAAACTTTCACCAAAAACATAATAAAATATTACTGAAAGAAAATTAAATGATAATCATAACTAAAATTCAATTTCTGGAGTTAAGGTTAGGCAGTAAATTTATACTTTATACCCCTTTCTACTCCATACAGTAAGTAACAGTTAATAATAACAATTAAAAATATAAAAAGAGAAAAAACATATTAGCTGGACTCAAAAACAAGAGAAACATCTCAGCAGATCAAAGTGTCAGAAACACAAAGCAATGTGGAGCTGAACTCAGGTGCTTGTTAGGCTGCAGGTCCAGAAGCAGCCAACAGCAGTGCATCCTATGGGGTAATAGGCACTAAAAGTTCTCCACATAAGAGACAGGGAGGACTGCTTGAAACCTGCCTTCCCTCCAGGAATGTTCAGAATAATAGTTGTTATTGAACCACACAGCCTTGGACTTCAGCTTGACAAGAAACTGAGCTTAGGGAGGCAGAAGAGAGGGCAAAAATTAGACTTCCCATTGTAGGTGGCTAGAATGGTGATATCCCAAAATCCAACAAACATGAAGTCATATAACACTTAAATTCTGCCAGTAAAATTAAAAATTAAAATAAGAATTCAGAAGGAATTAATTTTATGGAAAAATTTTTAAATGAGTATGTCTGTTACTGCTTAGACATAACCAAACACCACGC